GAACATGGAGAATATACATACTGATGTTAGGGTGTGAGGGGTTAAACTAATATTATGTCAGTCATTTATTCGGTCTTCCTTTTCTTCTTATTATTTTGTAGCCATCCCAGTGTTTGTGTGTTGGGGCGTAAGTACAGCTGTCGGATGTGCTATTCAGTACAAAGTAACAGCTAACAGTTTAAACAGTAACTCTAATCTTCTACAATTCTGCAACTGCTGCGACAGACCCAAGCCCGATAGATGACAAACCACAACTCGCAGCCAAAGAAGCTGGTTTATCATTAACTACAGTCAAGTAAAGTCAGTTTCAAAAGCTAACCTTGTGCTATGGAAACTGACCATATACAACAGATCACGAGCTTTTCACGTTTAATACAAACCGACCACTCAACTATAGCCTGCAAGAACGCCCTCGTATCAGCGCCTCGGCACGACCGTTTTTTCGCCCGAGGGAAAGTATGAGGCCTTACAGAGTAACGTGAATCGGCGAGAGGTCTGCTATTTTAGAGCCAGACGTCCGGCAATCCTCTCTCCTACTCCGGCGTCTTAAATCCTCCCAGGGGCGGAGAAACGTGCGCACAGCAGCGCCGATAACAAGGGCTTACTACTAGGCTGAGTGAATTAGACGATCATAATTTCGAGAAATGCATATCTTGAAGCAATTACATTGTTGAGCTTAAGCGCTCGATTAAGATAGGAAATGGCTGAAGAGTTGAGTTTAATCGCAATGGGTTTCAGGTAACTTTGAGGGTGGACGAGAGAATAATGTTCGAACAGATGTTTTATGTTTGAAGCTCGTTTTTAAATAACAGTCCTTTTAAAACTTGTAAATGCAAACCGGAGAACAGTTAGTATCGTTGTCATAAACAGCAAAGAAACAAACGAAAAAGTGAGGAAAAAAAACCTTTTTTGATTAACATTTTGGTTAAAAAGAATGAGACTTACGAAAACTATTCAATTCATCCTTTTAATAATCAAAGCGAAATTTATTTACACCTTCATTCCCAAAATCGAAACAAATTTATTACATTGAACCCGCTAAGAAGGTTGCGACGGATATTACGTACAATTTTGGCAATTTTGTAAGCGCAAGTACGGTTACATTACACTTACAAAAAGCTTTGTCACAAATTATTATCTTTACCAAACGCAACGACCGAATCTGATCGCTCTTCGTGCATCATGTGGTCAGTTTTCGATTAGTTGATCAGTGTCTGAGCGCAAAAATTGAAACTAATTAACCAAGCGACAACAAAGAAGAGAAATTGTAGGGAAACTTCATCAGTGAGGAGTTTTCAAACCATATTTCTGGTAACACGCAGTATTCAAGGTTCAATAACAAAGAATGACAGGTGCATAGCCAGGATTTTTCAAAGAGGCAGGGGAGGCACACTGTAAAACAGAAGGTACTTACCAGATTGTCCCCCCCCCCACTCCCCCCCCCCAAGCTACTTATTATTTGATGGTTACACATTAAAAGCTGGGTATCCAGATTTACTCGTAAGATGAGTTCTTCGTGCGACGGATGAGCGACAAGAGAAGAAAACTACAGAAATTTTTCAAAGTCTGAGATAAGTCTTAAGATGTTGTTTCCCTGTTAGTTAATTACTTTCCTCTGCACCTTTGAGCCAGCCTCAGTATTCTCGTTATTGTATACGTTGAGAAGTCTAAGGTAACGAGGTAAATTGCGGTAGAAACCTTGTAGTAATAGTTTACCGAGGAATATATGTCCCAAGAGGTAATATAGAACCAAAGGGAAACAAAAATGTGAAAGAAAAATGGAATTTAAGTCCAATGGTTTGTTAAATTGGCGACCAGGCCTTTTCACAGATTTGTCCAGTCGATTGATAACAAGTTCCTATTAGATTCCAGGCAGTGCGCGACTTCCTCAGCTACTGAGTGAGTTTGCCATAGTTTCTCCAGTTTCCGATATCGATCAGGGCAAAGATACAGTGGGTTACCCCTCCTACAAAAGGAAACGAAAGCGATGAACTGAAGTGCTATTGTTGTTGTTTCATTTTAACTCCATAAAAAAGACTTTTGAACTTTTTCGAAAGAGTGAAAATGAAAATTCACATTCATTCCAATATTCATAATTAACAAAGCAAAACAAAACAAAAAAATTAGAAGTAATTCCGAAAAGGACTGTTGGATCTCTTACCTACCGCCAAATAGTAAATTGACCCATTAAAAAAGATGCCGAAAAGTCAACAGCGCTATTATTTTTAAAACAGTTTAACTTAAACGTGTATTTTACTTACCCTCCTCTCCCTTAAGCTCTCCTATAAATCCATCTATACCATTCAACTGTGCAAACAACTACTCCTTATCAACTATTTTTCTGTTTAACCGTACTACGCTTAGAAATTGGGGAAGTTACTAGCTCAGTTTTGAAGAAATCAGCCAGTTCACCCTTTAACTCCCGAAAGTGATTTAATGTAACTTCTCCCTAAAAAAATCTATTCATTATTAACATGTAATGAGAGTATTCAAACTTATCAGGTAGAAGTTGTTATCTTGATCTAACACCAAATTCTCATAACTAAATGCGAGGAAATTTGTAGCAGCTAAAGGGGAGAATAAACAATCAGATCTTAGGAATTTAAGGGTTAAACTGGACCCAGAGTTTTCGTCTTACATTTTCTAAATGTCACCACGATCGGAAAGAATTTTCACGAACTCACCTGAGCCCTTGGTCGGTCTCGCCGTATGCATCCAAATAAGGAGGCGAGTAGAAACACCCTTTGTTCTTATTGGCCATCAACAAGATATGACATTCACGCACACGTAAAAACACACCGACTCCTGCACCACATTTCCGGGCGTGCGCAGCGCATGCTCCGACTTTGTCCCCCTCGATTTCCGTTTGGCAGCAGTAGCTTTGAGAGCAAAGCATTTCGCCGCAGATCAAACATAAAGCTGGCGCACGACTATCATCTCCGTCAGAATTAGGGCAGCTGGAAAAAGAACAAAGTTGCATCTTTAAAAAGTAAGATGAAGACGGCGATGACGATGACGATAATGATAATAATAACGATGATAATGACAATAACAGCTATAATGATAATGACAATCCTAATAATGAACTTACGTGAACATTGAAGCTTGGTTGATTAACTCACTGTAGTCCACAGGAATCTTCAGCAAATGATTGGGTTCAATTGAATATCTGAGAAAAGTACGACTCATTAAAAATGAAACGCAGCACTGACAACCCGTCAACTCAAAGCCCGATAAATTGAAAATGTTACTTTGTTTTTTGGTTTTGACCTCACATCCACATAAATCCGCATAGCTGGACCATCTAACACACACTCACTTAACTGAAATGTATTTCTTCCAGCGGGGTAAATTCGACCGTTCTGTAACGATGTATGATAATCAGCAAGGTACATTGTAAAACCTGAACCTAGTGTTTCATGAAGGGAAGAGTGAATAGAGGAGGCGATTAGCCGACTCCCGTCTTCAATGATCCGAAAAACAGTCCTACATCAGACAGAAATGTTAACCTCATGTTGCTTATTCATACCATGTTCTCACCATCATCTGGAAAGAACCTCACTTACCCAAGCGATTCAACTCCCGCGGTAGACAAGGTTTTCTTAACATGCTCGTGGCTACACCACCTATCAAAAGAGCAAAAGAAGGAAAAACAAAAAAAGAAGATTAATTTTGCAATTTTTTTGACTTTAAAGAAATTACTAGTGCTTGTTTTTCCCAAATTTCATTCGGAATCATGTAACAAATCAAACATGGCCGCACGGTGCAAGACCACGAGTTTGAATGAGGACACAAACCTTTTGATGGTGGTGAAGATGGTTGACGAACTAATACAAGACCTGTCTTGATTCCACTGCAGTAAGCGCGTCATGTCTGTAGGCACTGAAAGGTATCGGCTCAAGCACTCTATCTCCTCGGTCAACGAGGGTCGGTTGGGATCTGGATCGCATAAATAATTTAATTAACCATGCAAAACTAAACATGTCGAATGTAATATCTCTTATGTAACTTAAAACATACCTTTTAGGATGACAACTCGTGTAGTTTGGAAATTTGCGTAAACGCTTTAGCTACCTCTTGGCAAGAACGGAAAGCTTCGCTGCTTTTCAACTATTCCAGAATCACTCATTTCACCATAATTCCAATACCATAGTCTAATTAGTCTTATAGTCTAATTCCTGTTAAAAACAGCTTGGTTCTGAGAGCCTGGAAGGCCACCACCTAGCCACAACCCTGGCCACAACAACGTTCGCACGTGCGCAAACGTTTGACCGCTGTGTCCATGTTACTATGGTTTCCCTGGCTGAGCTCGCGAGTATTGTACACGCTCTTCAGCCGAACTAGTTTACGCGAATAGGCTACGTCAAAAAAGAAAGTTAAAACAAGGTAAATGAATTCTTTATGGAGTTCCCTTGGAGATCAGCCTTCCAGACAGTAGTTCGGTTTTTCTCCCTTGTTCTCTGTTCGAGATTTGCTGGTTACCTTTCAATAAAGACGGTCCTGAAATATCAGTCAGGAAATGAAAGAACAGAGCCGAACAGCGAAGGAATGGTAACAACTGTGTCGTCACGAGTCTAAGAAGCTCCTGAGGCATGGGATGAGGAGTAATGGACTGGGAACTAAAACAACAAAATAAAGAAAACTTCAATCAATAACACTATAAAAAGAAGACCAGAAAGTACGGCTCTTGTTAAAAAATATAAAAAAACGTCAGCAGTCAGATTCAAGTCTCCAAACCTTTGCAGTAATACATAGACTTCCAACCTAAGCTTCTAAATTTTGGTTT